CAAAAAAGTGAAAAAAATATATTTTTAATCAGACTTTCTTTTGACAACCAAAATTAGTAGAAATAATAAGATCAATTATTGATATTGTTGTTACAATGAAATATGATATTATCCAAGGTTTTCTTCGAGCATGTTGTAATCCAATTAAATAAACCTATATGAAAGAAAATAAATAAATAAATAAATAAATAAATAAATAAATATAATTTACTCGAATAATAGCATCAATATAAAAAATAATTAAACATAGAAATTCAATAATTAATTGTATAGTACAAGGTAATGTTAATCGTATTGGTTGTTTTGTTAAATCAGATGTTCGACTAAGTGATGATGGATATTGAACAAATATAAGAAGTAATTGACATGATACAATTATTGTTAATAAACGTTGAATCCATATTGACCAATATAATCGATAAAGTTTTAATATATTCGATGGAGATAATTTATGTGCTATTGAACGAAATGAATATGCATCTTCAAGTAAAACTATTGCTTGAATAATATGTTCTTCAGACCATGATTCACGAATACCATTATTCGGATCATTAACTATTATATCTGACATTTTTTATACAAGTTATTTTTTTTTAATCGAAGTATTTTTCTAAAATAATTATCATCAAATATAGATTTAGTAATATTAAAATTCAATTTCTCAATAACTTTCTATATCAGTTAAAACATTGATTATCAAAGAACTATATTACCTAATACGTGTGACAGAATAAAAAGATATCAGTGTAAGCGAAATATCTCGATAATAGTCATAGATGGTCATCTATGGATTTTCAATAATAAAATTAGGATAAATTCGGACAATCTTTTTTTCTGATACTGTATAAATTTTAATTTTCACATGCGCCTTAGATTGGAACTTTAAATCAATAAATCAAGGCACAGTTCAGATGATTATCTTCTCATATCTCAATATTGAACAAACAAAATTGCGTATTAATTTGGTCAAATGATATAGAATTCTTTTGATTTTTAGCAAATTTTCTTAGAAACAAATCACATTTTTCATGCGTTTTCTTTTGAGTATTTTGTGAAGATGATGGTTTTTAAAGTAATTTTGTCTAATATAATATCAGATAAAACAAATTTCTGAAGTTGTCCTACTTAAATTTCTGAATACAGTAGATCACTAGCTATCGCCATTACCTAGCTATTGTGCTTACACCCATACCTATGTAATTCTAACTCAAACATAAATCTTATTCGATTTATTGATTACAAGTAAATTCTAATGAAATAAAGAAAAAATTTAAAACTATAAATACAGTTTCTCAATTTTTATAGATGATTTTACTCATATGACATAATTATTATATTTTATAAGCCTGAATAACAATATTTTATCATTAAATATCAAAGATATAATTGATTATAATTTTTTGATTAATCAGTCATTAATGAAATTGATGTTACACTCAAGAAAATAACCAACGAATGATATT